GAGAAAAATGACAAAAGTTCATTCAAACAGGAGCAAACGTGCAGCAACTGGAGTTAATAAAAGGTTTGAATTTTGTTAAATTAGCTTTTATTCTTATTTCATTTTGATTTTTTTCCCCTTCTGTTCAGTTTCATTAAAGGTTTTTTTTTTTTTTAAATTCGGTTTTATTTGAGTTTATTATGACTCAGAGTGAAAAATTGGATAACTCAGAACAGCCACTGTAATGGAGACTTTGCAGCCTAACGCACACATAAAAACACCTGCTTTCACCTGATGTGCTGAATAATGTGCTCACACTGCAGGTGTTCAAGACATTTTATCTATATTTTGAATTTAATTTAGTCTTGTAAGCACAGGAGTTAAACTTTTTATTTTTATTTTTTTTACACCTGGTTTTACTTTGTTTCTATTAACATTAAGAAGATACTGCCCGTCTACTCCGTATTCTCCACGGTCTGCTGCCCGTCATGTGTGCGTCGTGTGTGTGCACTCGTGATCACCTGATCATCATCCTCCACGACCACAAGCGTCAGTTTGCTCTTCTTGAAATCCAGGCGAGTGATCTTGGGCCTAAGACAGTCACACAGGAAGGCAGGACAAAATATCATGTCTATAAAGCATGAAAAAAAAAAAAAAGGTGAATTAGGTCCGAATGAAACGTACCAGAAGAAAAGGCCGATCTTAGTTTGTCCTTCAAACACCAGAACTCCAGTGGGTGTCAGGCCCAGGCTGTACTCGTTACCATCTCGAGCCTGCAGGGCAAAAGTGATGAAAAGACAGGAAGGGAGAAGAAAGAAGACACATCAAAGAGCTCACATTATGATCTTATCATATGCTAATGTTGCGATGCACATTCCTTTCTCTTCCTGTCTTTCATCAAGGGCACTTCCTGTTTGGGATCCTACGTGTGCTTGATGTGTGTGTAAACGGTACAGAAAGACCGTGTCACTTACCTTCACCATATGCATGTCCACCCCGTACATTTCGAGCCACTTGGCTTTATTCAGGTAGTTGATCTCAGCCTGGGCTGGTGTCTGACCTCTGAAAAAGGTGAGGAGGAAACGCATGCATCAGACTACACTCCCCTCCTTCCCTGCCACCGCTTCATGTGCTTTCCCTTTGCCTCCTCATCCCCCAAACCAGCTGTGGACTCATCTGGTTGTTGGGGATCTCTTTAATCGTCGGGTCTTTACCTTCTGTTGTGATTTAAAACAACTTTGTGCGAATTAAATTTAAAAAATGAAAGTGCAGTCCTAAGATGTTTGGCGTATATGGCAGCGTGGCCATTACATGACTTTCTACCTGTGCTCATTAACACACTACCTCAGTAACAACGAAACACTTACCTGCACTCCTTCCATGTGTTATATATAGCCAGCTCCATCTCCTCTGTCTGCTCAGGCATGAAGCGAAACTCTGACACGAGATCCAAATTGTGTTCTAATGGATCACAGTCGCCCAACTCGGCTGCAAACACACAGACGCATCTTTACAGTTAATGATGGAATACCCCCCCCCATTCAGCATTTTACCAAACATTTCAAGTTGCTATACATCAATACAACCATTACATCCCAAATTTTAATAATATGTATGCATGAAGTCCATAGTAACTACATAAAAACATGGTTTTGTAAACGCACATTTCTAGTTACAGAAATTTCAGG